TTTCTGTGGGAAAGCGGTTGTCTCCAGTATGCGCCACTGAGGTCTGGCTGGAGCAGTGGAAGCCACTGTTCCTCGTTCTTCTAATGTGGGACACACATGCCTTTATCCTGGAGGGCTGCACTTACCGTGTTCTCCAGGTGTTACATCAGAGGGAGACAAAATCGGCCAAATATATAATCTATGCTAAGAATGGATTGCCTAGACTGTGAATATCGAAACTAACGAATATAGAGAGTATTGTGGTTGATTGTTCCAAAGACTACTGGACAATTTTATATATGTATGTGTGTGTGTGTGTGTGTGTGTGTGTGTGTGTGTGTGTGTAGTGTATGTATGTATATATATATATACACACACACACACCACATATATATGTATATGTATATATATAATTTTTTTTGGCCCCTTTAGTCTGGCAAGTGTGTTGTGACAGGACCAGCTAACTCATTTGGTGACTGGGGTGCTGTATGACTTCTGAGGAGTAGTCACAGAAAGCGACAGTTTGCTCTTAGCTCGCTTGCTCTCTCAACATACACTTTGGGACACCTATCCTTATGTGTAAAAAAAAAAAAAATCCATTCTTGTAAAGCCAGCATGCTGGGCTGAGTAATTGAAAGGCCTTGGAGATATAGCTACCCAAGAAGGCCTCGCTGTGCCAGCCCTCAGCTCCTTGAGTCTGGCACCATTAAGGACTCCAAACATTAGTGAGCCAAGGAAATCTGGTGGCCACTGGCAAAATCAAGATCAGACCCTCCCAGGGAAACACTTCCATAATACAGACTTTAAGCCCCCACCCCCCAGGCAAATACACAAACAAACACCAAGTACTCCAGAAGAGAATGACCCAGCAAAACACTCCGAAGCATGCAGGGAAACACGCTGACCCAAATGTGGCCCATAGGTGCACAAACAGGAGAATTTATTCTAGCAACTCTAAATAAAAGAAACATTTCTAAATAAATGTGCTTAAAATGTTTAATACCGAGCGTGATGGCACATGCCTTTAGTTCCAGCACTTGGGAGGCAAAGGTAGGCAGATATCTGTGAGTTTGAGGCCTAACCCTAACCTCACCCTGTGAGTGGTAGGATAGTCAGAGCTACAAAGACAGACCCTGTCTCAAGACAACAAGAGACCAAAATAACAAAAACAAAGCAAAAGGTTAATAAGATAAATAAGATAAAGAAAAAACAAAGCATGAAAAAGAACCAATGACTTTTAAAAAGAACGACGTGAAAATGGTAGGAAGATAAACCAATGAAAACTTTGTGGTCATATTAAGAAGCAGGTTAAACAGAGCACTCAAGAGGCAGAGACAGGAGGATTGCTGCAAGTGTGAAACTAGATGGATCTATGTAGAGAGTGGTAGGCCAGTCACCAGGGAAACATAGCCAAACCTTATCTGGACAAAGAAGCGACAGTGGCAACATCGCACTAAACATAGGTGCAAATAAAATTAGAGAATTGGATAATACGCCTGAGAAAATTATCCAAGACTAGAAAAAAATAAAGCAAAGAAGAGAAAGAAAAATCCAGAAAAGTAACACAGGAATAAAATATTTTCAGATGTAAAGAAGGATTTGTGTTTTAGGCTAGAATGAATATAAAGTTCTTCAAAAAAAAAAAAAACAAACAAATCCAAAGTCCACTTAGATTCACATGAACCTAAACACAAACTGAAAAATGAAAACACGAAAATTGAATGGGCGGAAAGATATCTGTACAGTAATGAGACAGAGACCAGGCTTCTCACTGCTAGCCCTGGGTGCTGAAAGATCAGTTCCTTCAAGTGCTGGTGTTAACCACTTTCAGTGTAGAATTCCATAGGCAATGAAACGACCATAACAGAAGATTCACGGGCCTTTGGTGAAAGACACTTAAAAGAACATTCTTAGCCATGGATGCCAGTGTCCATAGAGGTCTCTGAAGCATACACCCCGCCCTGCCTCATCCTCCTGCAGCAGAAGCCATATCACTTCCCTCCTCTGTGTAAGGGCAAAACCTTAGGAGGCGGATGGCGGTGTGGAACAGAGGACACACCCAACAATCTACTAATGTGTACTGTTCCGTGAGACGGAAACACGGCGTGGGGGAGGGGTGGCAGTAGTGCCGATTTCCTAGGGCCCTTTTCTCTGGTTAATCTACACAGTGAATAAACATAGATCGAGAAAGAAGGCGGAGAGTCAAGCCCTTGTGGTCTGGTAGTGAGGGGTAAGATCAAACTGTCCATTTATGAGACACCCTGAGAATGACTTGGGACGGTTGGAAAAGTGGTCACACCCTGGTGTAATCAGAAGGTGAAGGAAACCACTGTACTGTACAAGACAGAATTTAATGCCATGGGACAATGGGTATGGCATTCTTTTTCTTGATTTACTTTTAGAATGATTTGATGTGTATGCATGTGTCTGCATGCCTAGATGTGTGCCATGTCCATGCAGGTGGCTGAACCAGAGAGGGCATCGGATGCCCTGGAGCTGCTGGAGTTACAGGTGGTTGTGAACTGCCCAACATGGGCGCTGGGAACTGAATTTGGGTCCTCTGGAAGGTCAGCAAATGCTCTTACTCCCTGAGGCACTATTCCAGCCCTCCTTCCTCCTGAACCTCTCTCTACAAGGCACCAGTCCCATTTACCGTGTCTGCTATCAGGACCAAACCACTTCCCTACGTGCTCATGGATGTGAGTGAAGACTTCAACAGGAGTCAGGAGAGACCTAAACAGTCAGACCACAGAAACAGCAGCACATGGAGCCAAGGGAAAGAGGCAACCTGTATTATAACCCTGGCTCCAGGATTTACACGGGAGGGCCTTTTTTTCCAACTTTAGTGTGTTCTCTTTTTAAAATATTACAGTGTGTGTGTGTGTGTGTGTGTGTGTGTGTGTGTTTGTAACAAGAATACCTGGCATTGTGTGTGTGTGTGAGAGAGAGAGTGAGTGTGTACAAGAGTACTGGATATGGTATGTATACAAGTGTGTGTGTACACGAGTACTGGACATGGTGTGTATACAAGTGTGTGTGTGTGTGTGTGTGTGTGTGTGTGTGTGAACAACTTTTGGGAGTCAGGTTACTCCTTCTACCTGCGGCGTCTGGGAATCTGAGAGTCAGGCTGGTCATTGGTCATTGAGCCTTTACCCCCGGGTCTCAGCAGCCTCGGCTGTAGCTCCCTGTGAAAGACACTAACACATGTTATGGAGAACTGTGAGAACCGAATGAGACAAGGCAGGAAAAACTGATTTCTTTTTTTTAGATCCTCAAAAATATACCTCAAACGATACCACAATTCTCTCAACAAACTTGAGAAACACATGTTGAGAACTGTACGGGAGCCAGGAAGATGGAGTCAATTATAATATTTGCCACCAGGAAAATTATACGTAAAAGCCAACTTAAAAGTCTGCTAAGGCGTTATGATAGGACGGGGTGATCAGACACGACACACAGTCGGTGCAGAGGGAGCAGACAGCTTTTACCAAGCGGCAGGGTCAGGAATACCTTTATGAGGAAGGTAACCCTTAGGGCGAAAAGTGAAAGATGGAACAGGTGTTTTATAGGCTGAGTAAGAGGAAGAACATTCCAGAAGTGGGCACAGCATAAAAACAAATGGCCTGAGGGAGACCTTCCTGTCAGGAACTCAGAGCGTTTGAAGGAATTGGTGAAGTAGGCACTAGCTAAGATATTAGGACCTAAACCTTTATTCTTGGGGAGGCTAACTTAGGTCCCAGCAAGAGGGAGGACACAGGAACAGTTCAGAGAGAACACGAATAGTAAGTGGAGCTGGAGGGGTGGCTCATTGGGTAAAGTACCTGCTGCCAAGCCTGAAGGTCTGGGTTCCTTCTGCTTGTGGAGGAAGGTGAGACCCAATGGCTGCAAGTAAGTCTCTGACCTCCACACTTGTACATGGGCTCACATACAAATACAGTAAGAAATTCAAAATTAATAAGGAAAGTAATGCAAAGTTTCGGGGGTCTGAATGAAACCAGGGCCCTTAGGCGGGGGTGGGAGGGAGGGTGGGAGAGAGAGAGAGAAAGAGAGAGAGAGAGAGAGAGAGAGAGAGAGAGAGAGAGAGAGAAACCAAGGGGGAGGGGAAACAATGAGAGAAAGGAGGAACCTAGGATTTCTTTTTCCTTCTCTCTTGCATGACTAAGTGAATTGTGGTGACATTTATATAAGACTCGAGAGAAAAATCAGCTGTCAGGGAAGCACTTTGTCTTAGGTTGAATTTAAGGCCAGGGGAACAGAGTTTCTGGTTAAGAAGCTGACTGCTTTCTGGGTTGGAGAGATGGCTCAGTGGTTAAGAGCACACACTGTTCTTACAGAGGACGGGGAGTTTGAGTCCTAGCTCCCATACTTGGGTGGCTTGTACCTCCAGCTACAGGGGGGATGGGATGCCTCTGGCCTCCGTAAAGAACTTGCACTCATGTGCCCAAACCCACACACAGCCACATACGTGTAAGTGAAAACTAAAAGTATAAAAAAATTAAAATATATGTTTGAAAAAAGGCTTGCTTCTGGTCTGGACACGTAGCTTAGTTGGTAGAAAGGGTGCTTGCCTAGCATGAATAAGCCATGGGTGTGAGTCCCAGTGTACAGCTTGAAACCCTAGTGCTTGGGAGGTGAAGGCAACAAGATCAGAAAAGCTGGAAGTCTATGAGTTCTCATCACCTGGCTGGTAAATGAAAAGCAAGGGATGATGGGACCTGATAGACCACTCCTTCTCTCTAGTCCACTCTTCTCTCTAGTCCACCCTCACAAGAAATAAACGGAGTGCAGCCTACTTAGGCACCTCAGTGAGTAAGAGGTCACCCAACAAAGCATGGCCAGAGACAAAGAAGACCCAACTATCGAGGGCTGATTTAAAGGAGAGATTCAGGGATACAAATCTAATCTGTCAGGTTGTAGAAAGCGAGGGCTGGAAAACATCCAGTGGTTTAGGCGCTCCACAGACCTTACGTGACCTTTATCAGCGGAGCCTCAATGGAATATTAGCCACGGAAATTAGAATGACGTGGGAGCATGCTGGATCAGGTAAGTGTTTTGATTTTTCGGTTTCAAAACGTTTGGATCCGTCTGTCTACCAAACTACAGGCCATGAGAGGGTGCTGGCAGGAGCCTGAAAGTCCACGAGAGGAAATGACCCATGTAAATGCAGTCACCGCTCTGCTGGAACTAGATGGAAACCGTCTTCACTGCCAGTAAAGATGATTTGAAACGCTAGTTGCAATTTTCGTTTTCTTTTTCTCTGAAAGCAGCAGGAGGAGACAGTTGACATTTAAGGGCTCTCTCCGAACTGCCCCTGCCCCGAATTCGAGAGGAGCGCTCACAGCGGACGGCAGACGGGCTCCTTAGCTGGTTTTCTTTCCACTAAACCGTTTACCCACAGAAAAATGAGTAAAAGCAGGGCTTTCCAAGGTTAACCTCTATTGCGGACGGCAAACCAGCCAGTCATCCCAGCAGCTCAGAGTAAACCACCCCTGGCAGGGGTGCTTGGGGAGTTGCTCAGGGGTGCGAAGCGCAGCCTCGCTCTGTTGAAGCCGGGTATTGTCCTGGGCAATTACTCCAGCCTCAGCTCCAGAGGCGGCCAGTGGGGGCTGCAAGCGCCCGGAGCGAGGGAGGCCGAGGGACAGGGATGCCAGGACGCGCACCACGGGCACGAGCCACTCCGCCCGGCTTCCCCCCGAGGCGCCTGGCGAGCCCGGCCCCTCGGGGAGGCTGCCTCTCTCTGAGATGCCACCTCCCGGTGCCCGTGACCACCCGGTGGCCGCTTTCGGTTCCGCGCCTTATAAGGACTGGCAGGGGGTCACGTGCGTCCCGGGCCGCCCGCCGGGAGGGGCGGCTGGGGGAGGGGCAGGCGGCAGGAGGAAAGGGGAGGGAGTCGGGGGCGGAGACAGCAGCGAGGGGCGGATTCTGCGGCCGTGGGAGGCGGCGGCGGCGACTCGGGGTTCCGAGCGCTCGCGGTTGAGCCAGGGAGCGGGACGCAGGCGGTT